GAAGAATTCAGACCCACGAATCACAAGCTAAGACTAAAGCTATTTCGGGAGACCCCGGTGACGGCTCAGAAGGAGTTAAGCTGTGGTGAGTGTCTAGCCCCGTGAGTGAGTTGCAGCTGGAATGTGGGGGTTCACTGTTCTGAGCGCGTTCTGAAGGACACGGGGTGCTGATTCCTGGAGGACACGTGATGCTTGCTGTGACGTAGCAAGCACCCCGCTGGGGTGGCGTTCGACGATGTGTGTAAAGTGCTGGCTTGCGAGTGACAATATTTGGCAGAGGGGATCTCGAAGGCAGGCCTCGAGGCAGGGGCAGGAGATGGCTTTCGAGCTGGGCATAGAGAAGCCAGCATCGAACGAGTCTGGAAAAGTCCTTTCGTCTAAACTGCGCGCGTGTGGGCTGACGCAGACACTCCGGATGTCACGCCATCTTGCGCTGACGAGATTAAGCCTGTGGCCGATCTAATCGATCACCTCAGGCGGAAAAACCCTTGTCGACTTGGGTCTGAAGGAGGGAGCCAGGACGAGGGGCAGGGAAGCGGCCTGGCTCCTGGAATTGTACAGGCAGGCACCAAGCCGGCCGCCTGCCCACCCACCTGCAGCGCCTCCTCAGGGCTGGCTGGCGGCTTTGTTTAGACATTGAGGGTAATCCTCCACGGGTGTTAATAAGAAAGAACAACATGTGACCTGGTGTTTACCCTCCACAGGGGCATGGATGCCAACGTGCCCCCGGCGTCCCAGAGCACCAGCCGCCAGCCCACTCCCAGGCCTGGGCCTCTGGAACTGTCACAAGGTTGTGACAGTTATGTAAGAGCAGTTGGCATCGGGGCCAGGTCACCTACAAGAAGCCACGGTGTCAAGGATCTATGCAGACTCTAGACATATGAATGGATTGTTTTTTATTAAAAGATCATTTTATTAGGGGCTCTTACAACCCTATAGCGATCCATACATCACTTGTATCAGGCACATTTGTACATATGCTGCGATCATATGTTTTCTAGACATTTACTTTGCATTGAGCCCTTGGGATCAGCTCCTCTTTTTCTCTCCCTCCATCCCCCCTCGTAACCCCTTGATAAATTACACATTATTATTATTTTCATATCTTACACCAACCACTGACGCCCTCCACGTGGTTTCTGTTGTTCGCACCCCTGGAAGTGGGGGAAGGTTTAATATGAATAGGTTTTGAACTCACACCTAATCGTAAGCCCAGATCTCAGGACGAGTCTTCCTTACAGTGTGGTCCTCTTCCCGCTTGCCCTCACGATGGGCTCACCAAAGATCTGGTGCTGTAGCTGGTGTGTTGAAGAAATCAGATGGTGCCCGGCTATCAGAAGGAATCGCATCTGGGGTCTTAAAACAAAATCATTTATCGAAGTGAGCTTGTTGGCCGAGTCCACATGGAAGGAGCCCACTGGCCTGTATGATCCAAGGATTCTAAGTAAGAAAAGTCTGAACTCAGAAGAGGGAATTGCACTAGAGCTTAAATTCTGAAAGCCTGTTTGCAGAAGGCTGTGGATGACAGTGGACACCCAAACTCCACTTGCAGAGTCCCCTAGTGGGCCAGACTCCAGTTACCTCCTTCAGACCATTGAGCAGGGATGCAGACGCACGGGAAAGTGTGTTACTGGAGGTAATCATAGTGCAGTTGGGTTAAAAGTTAACACATTATCGTTTGTTTTCTGTCTTGGCCCGTTATTAGTCTGTTCTAGCTTCCTCGTTCTTCTGCCTTTGGGTGGAGGTTTTCCTGTGTTTTATTTTTTGTCATTTGTTTTGGGGGGGTTTGGTATGATTTCTAAAAGAGGAAATCCAGGATAGGGGACCCTACAGACGCAGTGAGGAGATTGAGTCCCTTAGAGTCGGGCATAGCACAGA